TGAACAAGAAGGGTATAGGGAACTGACTATATAACCGCTTCCCTCCTCAAAACTTTCCACCCTTCAAAAGTTCCAAAGAAATATCAACAAAGTGGAAAAAAGACCATAGAAAATCTGCTCACTGTTAGATTTTCATCAAACAAAGACAGAAACCAAAAATTTAATGAACCTCTTACTTGGATTCCGAAAATGTAAACCTAAAAAATTCTGTATAAAACTCTTGTGGGTATTTTATAAAATAATATACACCTATCTATTATCAACCCAATTTGTTTGCACAAGTTAATTTGTTATGATTTATTCCTGTCATCCACATGAGTTACTTGTCCTATGACGTTCATATTGCCTCCACCTATTATAAACTCAAGTTATTTGCCAAAGTTTAACGATTGCCATCATTTCTTTTGTCCTGAGCTTTTCGTCTAATAATGTTCTTATAGCCTCCACCTATTATAAACTCAAGTTATTTGCTAAAGTTTAATGATTGCCATCATTTCTATCGTCCTGAGCTCTTCGTCTAATAATGTTGTTTTAGCCTCCACCTATTTTTATAAAAACATCTTTTCCATCGTCCTCAGTTCCTCGTCCAATGATGATCCTGGCACTGGCCCATGCGTCTCTTCACCGGCCACCTTTCCAGTGGCTGCTACAGTTGGAGCCTCGCTGTCAGAAAATGGGAGGACCAGAGACAGTTTCCTGAGACTCCGTGCAGGTTGAGCACCACAGATGGATCATTTCTGCTTTTAAAATGTTACGTAGCTCGATGTACCAGGGAAAATCCTGAAAAACCAAGAACAGTTGAGATTTTTTGGGGGGTGTTTTTGGTACATGTTTGTATTTGTCGCGTGTCCCTTTTTCGGGTACATGCCATATTACTGATCTTATTTGTGTCAGACAAAATTATTCACGAGAATATGAGTAAGTAAGGGAACGTTCTCTTGTAAGAAAAGTGTAAGAATCAGGGGGTGGTCTTGAACCAATGTAATATTATACTTTTTTTCGATCCCGAGGTGTTAACTTTATCAAAATTCTACTGTAATTTGGGGGTGTTTTGACATTGACATGCATCTCAATTTTTTCCCTTATTAGTAAGAAAGAGTGTATGCATTATTTTGCTTGAATGATTTACTCTGTTATTTTTTAGTGAATGTAGAACTGCATATTTTATTTTATGTGCATGAATGTGTGTACGCATGTTTTTCATGAATATTATGTAAGACGCATAGATCAATGATTGTAACACGGATATGAATGTCATATTATTATTATTATAGGCGAACAGTGTAATATTACGGGGGGTGGGGTGGGGGTTAAGAGACAATATAAGAAGGGGGAGGGGGGGGGGGGCAAAAAGTCCCCAGAAAGGTGTAAGATTATATTTGAACAGCCCCTAAATACAATGAAAATATTTGAAAACTAAAAAGAAACAAAAGAGGATGTCTTGTTGAGATCTAATGGAGGATATTTGACAATTCTTCTTTTAGATTTTGTCCCCCCGTTCTAGCTCCCCGAGGCTGTCCGGGGCGGTGAGAGACATACCCGTTTCCCACTATCCTCGCACAGGCTGGAGAGACCGGGTTTAGAAACCTTGGAGAGATAATGTGTACATTTTGTTAGCTCTAGACTCTAGCCGGTCTGACGAAAACATTTACTCAACATTTGCTGGCTCCAGAGGGGAAAAAGATACGAGTGGAAGATTGTTTTGTTTTGTCTTCGGTTACGTAGTTTCTTTAGACTGTGTGTACAAGCATAGCAAGGCTGTCGCAAAATTGTAAAAGTGCGAAACCCAAGCAACATGATTCCCATGTCTGTCTTTTCTCTTCTTTAAACTGCTAAAGCTGCAAAAGGATGGCACTTGTACATTTTTACCCTTCCATAAAATTGTTTGATCGTTCTGAAACAGTGCAGTCTATCCCGCACTGTTCTCAGATAATGTATTCGAATTTTTGTGAAAGATTGTGTTAGATTTATTTGAATAAACTTCAAGACAGGACTTAACAAAAGCTGTGTGATGTGTTTGAAAAGTTTCTTTTTGTTTTTGAATTATTTAGAGCTTTAGTGTGTGTGTGTGCGTGTGTGTATCTGTCTGTCTCATTCACTCACTCTTTTTCTCTGTCTATTTGTCTGTCTGTCTGTCTCTATATTGTAGGCTAATTGTAAGTGTTTAATGCTCCCACTGACACAATTAAGATTATTTAGGAGGCCGGCTACTTCAAGCCTGCCTGTCAAGGTCAACCCCAGCTTAGCGGAATACAACATCCCAGCAGATAGACGGAGATACCCGTTAAAAGATTTTCCCTCCTTGGGAATCGAACCGCCACTTTGTGCATGCAATGGCAAAGAACCTTACCACTACACCACAGACACCACTTCTCTCTCTCTCTCTCTCTCTCTCTCTCTCTCTCTCTCTCTCTCTCTCTCTCTCTCTCTCATACATCCCCATCTCTTACTCTCAGAAAAAATCGAGGATAAGGTCTTTCAATATTGTGCAGTTATTTTCAAGTCCTGAACGTTCTGATGGGAATCGAACCAAGATCGTCTAGAACAGAGTCCAGTGGGGTAGCAGCTGTATACCGGTACGCCCGAGAGAGAGCCCTTTGAGTCTGTTGTGATATACATGTACATAATATCTGCATATTATATATATATTACTTATATAATCACCATCATGATAAGACCTGATGACTACAAACTTTCTATTTCGCTTTTTTTGGTGAAACATTCTACAAGGCATGTTTCATATGCTGGCTAAAATTTATAAAAGTAGGAGAGTTACTGTCATGTGCCAGGAAAGCAAAGAAGAAGAAAAAAATCAACAACAGGGAAAACACGTGGGTGCTGTTTTTTTTTTTTTTTTTTGTTTGTTTTGTTGTTGTTGTTGTTGTTGTTGTGTTTTTTTTTGGGGGGTGTCCCTGACACTCATGGTGCATTCCGTGACAGTTAACCCAAGGGGTTGAGGGTGGGGGTGGGGGAGCGTACCGGAAGGGGGGGGGGAGCGTGCCTGGAGGAGGGGGGGGGGGGTTGGGAAGACCAAAAAAAAAAGAGGGAGACGTTTTTGGGGAGGGGTATTTCCCTTTAAAAGGGGGGGGGAAAAAAACAAAAAAAATAAGTTTTTAAAAAAAAAAAACCCCAAATTTGGAGAGGGGGGCTTAAAGTTTTTCCTTAAGGGAACACCCCTCAGAAAAAAATTTTGTTCAGGCTTGAAACATCCTTTTAATTTGTATTGTCCCCTGGGTTCCAAAATCGGAAAAATCACCTCCAGGCACACTTTTTTTTTTTAAAAGGGCTAATTCCCGCAGTCTTGAACACTTTTATCACCATCACAGAAGAAGATGTGGAGGTCCCGCCCGTAGTGTATATATAAGTTGGAGATTTTTG